AACGTGGATCCATCGTGCATGCAGAGGACAACGTCCCAGACGCGGAAGAGCGCTTCAGCGGATAGGCAGTCGGTAAAGACGGACAGGAACCATTGAAAGGTCAAGGCTTCGAGCTCGATCTCCAGCTCCTCGAGATGGGCAGACAACCTTGGCAGGATTTCAGCAACGTATTGGCGAAGCACAGACTGGTCAGCACGAGACGTGAGCAGATGCTGGTCATAGTAGTGCTGGGGCAGAATCTCCTCAATCATTGCAGTGAGGACCCAGAAAGCATCTTCAGGCGTGGGCATAATAAGCAGCAAGCATGCAGCGATGAGGTTCATGCCTTGGCAATAACCAACTTCTGGATTGCGGCGCGAGTAGGCGAGTAACACTTCCTGCAGCTTCTGCACACCAGGGCCAGTCCGGAAGAAGATGTTGTCAGTCAAGGTGCGGGTAATGTCCATTTGGATTTGAGTTGCAATTGCCGGGTCGTCTTCGCCATTGTTGACCAGATCCTCATAGTAGCCAGGCGTGCGCAGATGCAATGCCCCGCTTCCTTCAGCCCAGATGGCAGCCCTCATGTGGACGGGAATGCCCCCAAGGACAAGACGGCGAAACTCTTGCCATTTGGCACGGCCCACTTTGCCCTTGTTGCCGAGACCTGCAATGCCGACGAGTTCGCCGTCTGAGAGAAATGTCTCGGGCATTGCGTTGGCCTTGCCATTCTCCCCTATGCTGGCAACTTCGCCTTCGCGTTTGTTCTGGGCACGCACTTTGCGCAAAAAGTCGTTCCATTTGACGGTTCTTTCTTTCTGAAGGTTGTCGTGCAGTTCGCTCATCTGCTCCAGCAGGGACTGTACGGGATCCATCTGACCCGGATACGGGCTGATGGGCGTGGATGGGCCAGGTGAGGTGGCAGTGACGGAAATCTCTGCATTGCCAGAAACGATACGAGACGGCGATGGCTCTGGGTTGACGCTGGTAGTGGGCACAGATCCTCGCTTCATGAGAGTGATTTGCGTTTGGCCAATCTTGAAAGAAGATGTCTCGCCTTCAGCAGACTCTACCGTGGTGATTGGCGCTGCTGACGGGGTATGCGAAAGCAACTCAGTTGGGTGTGTGGCCAGTTTAAGGTAGTCGGCCCAGGTCTTGCTCGCTGGCTGACTGGGTTGATTGTCTGAATCTGAACTGGATGGGCGTATGCCGGTGCTGCTCTGATCACCTGCAACTGGAGGGCCATCGACATGATCGGCATCGTCTGCTTTTGCGAGGCTGTTGAGCGCAGTTCTGCTGTCGTTGAGTGACTCAACATTACTGCTGCGTTTTTGCTTGATTAGCGCAGCAGCAGCTTCGCTCTGTCTCTTCTTTCGGCGCTGGTCGTAGATGAAGCCAAATCTATCAGTCAAGTACTCGCTACTTCCGATGAATCGGTTGTGTTGCTGCACAAGCGTTGGTGGACGTGAGTCTTCGGGTAAAATGCGGTCCATTTCTACAGGACCGAGATTACTCATTCCACGGGTTGGCTGGGATGGGGCAAGGCTACTGGACACGGCCTTGGGCTGATCTCCGGTAATGCTCTTAATAGTTCCATTTGGGCCCAATGCACGACCTCGTTTCTGTGTGCTTGCTAGAGAAGACTTTGCAGATTGGGCAGTTTTTGTCGAGTCCATCGAGGGCGCTCGGTCTGCAGCATCAGATGCGGTGGTTTTGCGCCCTCGTGCTGAGCTTGTTTTACTAGGACTTGCGGAGCTGTTGCCCGCCACCATTTTCAACGCCCAACTCGCTAATGAGGATGACGAGGACCTGCGCGCCGACGCATCTCCGGCACGATCTTGGCTGTTGAGTCTGCGTAGAGCGGGTGCTGCGCCGGCAGCGGAAGGCGGCACAAAGGTGTCGTTTGCGAGAGGCTTGCGAGGCGGCTTTGCATTGCTGTTTGCCCGCGATCGCGGTCCAGCTGGTAAACCACCAATGTCGCGGTCAATATGGCTGGCGACAGACGGGGCCCTGCTACTCTTCCTACTTGCTCCTGCCCAGAGATAGCCCTTCCAGTTTGACTTTGGACCATCGCGCTGGGCGTCTGACGCGACCGAGTTGAGCGACATGACATCTGCCAGGGGCGTTGCTGGAGTGCCCATGTCTATGCCGAGCGCATCTGGGTGCTCGGCCAGTTCGTCTTCCATGGCCCTTGCAAGCCTGTCCTCCATGGGATCGTCGGGATGCAGTCCAGCAGATGCACTGTCGCCCCTTGTCCTCGTCTTGGTGAGACTGTTGCCATTCTCCCTGGTCCTGTCGAGCTCGCGGAGCCTGTTTTCAATGTCCATGTTGGAGACTTCGCATTCTTGCAGCATTTTCCTCAGCATGCGCTCGCGCTCCTCGGCTCGTCTTCGCAGGGCGGTAATTTGGGCGTCGCGCTGGGCGAGGTCGCCTGCGAGCTGCTTGACCAAGGCGACGGCGCCCGTGTGGCGCAAAGCATCTTGTATGCTTTCATCGGTAGCAAAGTGCAGGTTGCCTGGGACGTTTGCCGTCTCCGTGGGGGTGTCGTCGAAGAGGGCGGATCGGTGCTTGGTTGAGGATGAGGCGGCGACGAGGCTGCCGACAATGTCCTGTGTCGACTTGGTGACCCTCCTCACCGTCGAGGTTGGCGTGACGGTCTTGTTGGGGTCGGGCGAGGCGATTGCCTTGAGGGCGTCGGGCAGTGCGGGCGGTCCATTGGGCCAGTCCTTGAGGTCGTCGTCGGGGGCGGGCGTGGACCGAAACCAGGCGTTGAGACGGGCGTGTGCCGGGGAGGCGTCTGGGCTGGGCGACAGTGAGGGGAACGAGGTGAGGCTCTTTGTGTCGACTTCGGGCTCTGGGCCTCTGCTGCGGCTGCGGCTGAGGGAGGCATTGGAGGGGCGCTTGGAGGGGCGGACGCGCTGCAGGCTGCGGTTGCGAGGGCTGGAGATTGTTGATGTTTGCGAGGCTGTCCGCACGAGATCAGCGGCGCGCGGGTTGTCTAGGGCAGCCATGTGTGTCAAGCGTGTCTGTGGGGGCACACATTCGGGAGGCTGTGGGGGGGAGGGGGTGCACGAGAGAGAGGGAGGCGGAGTAGCAGGTGTAGCTGTGGCAACGAGCAGAGCCAAGTGTGTATGCTCGGGAGAGTGTATATGTGTGTGTGTGTGCGGATGCGGTTGTGCGTGTGTGTGTGCGTGTGTGGGTGCGGAGAGGGGGTGCGTCATACTACGCGGATCTGGCGACGGCCTACCAACAGCGCCCGCCCGCGCCGTCGAGCAGCAGCAGCACGACTTTTGAGCTGCAAGCGGACATGTGGCAGCACGGGGGCCCAGAAACACGTCGGGCCCAGGGGACACAGGACACACAGTGGGCGAGCTGCGCCAGGCGGAATGGCAGATTGCTCGCCGCGCAAGGGGCGCACCCACGCACGCACGCGGGCCTTGGGATGGGCGGGGACCAGCCATGGCAGCCCTACCGGCCGACACGACAACCACCCCGGGCCTCGCTGCCGATCACCACGCCCTATCCAGTAGCATCGTCTGCATGCCATACATGCTAGTACACATGCCTCCCGCAAGGCTGCCAGGGACCGTCCAAGGCTGCCCGTTGGCCTGCGACATGCCCTCCACACCCACCCACACCATCCGCATCCAATGCCCCCCACGGACGAGGATGCTGCCCTGCACGCCATCGCCGCCCTCGACCCGCCCTCGCCCGCCCAACTGAGTGCCCAGCACGCCATCGCCGCCATCCTGCACAACGGCGAGCCCTTTGTCGACGTCCACGCCCTCTTCGCCCTCTACGACGCCCTCTACTTCCGAAACCTGCTGCTGTCGCGCGTCGAGGTGCTTTGGTCGTCGCGTCTAACCCTAGTGCGTTTCTCTCTGGCCTTGCTTTGTTTTCTGCCCGTCTCACCCTCCCCATCTGAAGCCGGCCCTGGCTGCCGCTCCGCCTGCCCGCGCCGTTGGCCCGCTGGCTGACTGTCGCAACAGTGCGCTGGCATCTGCGAGCTCTCCAAGGATGCCCAGACTGGTCGCTGGTCCCGCATCCGCCTCAAGCTGAGCTCCCCACTGCTGCAGTACCGCCCTCGCTCAGACACCATCAACACGCTGCTGCACGAGGCCATCCACGCCTACTTCTTCATCACCACCTCGTGGACCCATTCGCGCGCCGACGGCGGGACGGGCCATGGTCGCGGCTTCCAGCTGCTAGCCGACGCCCTCAACAACCACGGCAACTACCACATCACCATTTACCACTCGTTTCACGATGAAGTCGACAGCTACCGCACCCACGTCTGGAAATGCAATGGGCCTTGCCAGACCCAGCCTCCCTATTTTGGCCTTGTCAAGCGGAGCATGAACCGCGCCCCTGGGCAGAGTGACCCCTGGTGGGTGAAACACCAGGCCGAGTGCGGCGGCACCTACACCAAGATCCAGGAACCTGCGCCTACAAAGAAACAGCTGCAGGCCATGTCCACAAAGGAGCGTGCTGGACGCCAGAAGAACAAGCTCGACAACTGGATTACAGCCGGACCGGCAAAACAAGCCCAAACAAATGCTAGTACTAGTGACGATCCGATCCATCTTTCCGACGACAAACCTCGGCCTGCATCTTCACACACCAACAAACCCAAAGATGCAGTAGTCGAAAACCTTGTTTCTTCACCGTCACGTTCCACGGCCCTCGACACAGGCCACAAACGTCCGCCATCACTGCAAGAACATGACTCAGCCATGCACAAGAAACTTCTTATCGAGTGCCCAATCTGCAACCTAACAATGGCTGAAGCAGACATCAATCAGCATTTGGACGTGGCGCATTGCTGACAACGTTTCCCCTGCCTGCCAGTCCCAAACAGGATTAACTGTCCTGGACCCTGATTCTTACGTCATCCTACACTGCTCATTATATCCGTAGGATTCACGCTCGGCTATGCACTTAATAAGCGGTCGGCTTCCTGAACTTGCAAGTGACAACACCGTCTCTTCTATTCTCCAACTATGCTCAGTTCAAAAAAAAAAATCATGAACTCGCCTTCTCACACCAATGTACCCATGGTACCTGTACAGCACTCTCTGTTTCTGAAGCTCCCTTCGGAACTGCGTCTTGAAGTCTACGATTTTCTAGGTCCCCGTGAGCCCAAAAGCTACCCCTTCGGAGGGACCGTAATCCGTTCGATTGATCGAAGAGTCCCTCCTACAGCACTTATGGCTACATGTCGCTATCTCCACGACGAGATTCTCGCCCACTTCTACAATACCGTCACCTTTCACTATATTACGCAAACCACTAATTTTCTTCATACTGGCGGTCTTCGCCCCATTGCACTCGCTGCCGTCCGGCGAGTCAAGAAGCTTCACTTGGAAATCCACTGGAAAGCGTCGAAACCGTCCTTTGAAGAGAATTCTAGCAAACACTCCTATGTCCTATTTCGCTGGCTTGGGCAAGTAAACAAGCTGGTGCTTAGAGAGGCAAAGAGCCTTGAGGTGGTTACCATCGCAGTGGTTGACTTGGCCGTTGGTGTAGATTGGGAGTGCAAGAAGAGGCTTTTGGATCCGTTGGAGATGTTGGGTCAGCGAGCAGTGCTGCGCTTGGGCGAGGTTACAACGACGGGCGAAGAAGAGGAGGTCAAGTTGACAGCACGAATGAAGCTGTATCTGGACGGGATCAATAAGCATCGGCTGCGCACAAGCGACGTGGCTGCTCTTGGTAAACAATGATGCCTTGACTTGCCCATTGTCTACGTTTGGATTCGGTTTTCTGGCCAGCCAAGATTGCAGAAAATGGCCACATAGAGAAAACCAAAAGTCGAGCAATCCATTCCCAATGAACTACTCAATCTCAATCGGTGCCTCTCTCGATTCACCCCGACCATCTTCCTCGGACGGAACAGCAGACCTCACCCACCCCATCAACTGCCCATTGACCCTCGCTAGGACGTGTTCATAGGGCTCTACCCCAAGCGCCTCCCACTCCTTCTTCAATCCTTCCTCGATGTACTTTCTTCTACTCTCCTTTGTCTGCATACTCTTGGGCCCCTTCTTGGTCATCTCCCTGTAAGCCAGCCATCCCTTACCCTGATGATAGTCCATGTTCATATGCTTCATGATGCGCGTGTGCGCCGCAGCCCGCCTACGCATAAACGCTTCGTCCTGTGCCTTTTCCCCAAGCAGCGACCGAATATATGCACTACGCGCCATCACGTCGGGTGTCGAAATCATCGTGGCAACATCACCCATGACGGGATACGATCCCGTAGCCAGCGGAGGCAAGTTCGGATGTAAGGGCGACGGAGTAAAAAGGTCGAATTTGGAAAGATGTGTTTGTTGTGTCGCTTGCGTCATAGTCTGTGCCCCCCATGTAGTCGTTAGTCTCAAAACCGAAAAAAATAAGATACCAAGTTCACTTTGAACAGTTTAGTAACTTTGCAAAAGTCCCCGCCCGCCTTATCTCCGAAATCCCGCCCTTTTTTTTTTGCACCGCAACCCCAGCGCAAATCCCCCACCTCCCCCACCCCCCGAAACCCATAAACCCATTTCCAGAAGAGAGAGGGGGAAAAAAAAAAGAGAGACTCACCATCTTGGCAAACTCCTTCCGATCACACCCCAAACAACACGTCATGCCCCGTCCAAAACACGCCTTGCGTCTACTCTTCCTCTTGCAAAACCAGCACAGCTCGCCCAGCCACTTGCGCCGACAACTGCTCACGCGCGCATTCTTGGGTACCTCGACCCCGCCAGCGTGTCGCTGGAGCAGGTTGCGCGCGTACTCCTCGACGATGGCGTGCAGGTGGCGGTTTGTGGCGGCGAGCGCGTTGAGCGGGTACGTGGTGAGGCTGAGGCAGTAGGGCGGGTCTGTGTACGAGAGGATGTGGAAGAGGAGTTCGGGCGGGAGCGTGTCGAGGCGAGGCATTTTTTTTGTCTCCTTCGCTAGGCCTGTTTTTTTGGTGGGTGAGGCGGCGCGAGCGCGCGGGCGCGCGGGCGGGATGTGGAAGGGGTGGGATGTGTGTGTGTGTGTGTGTGTGTGGTCGGAGGGCTGCCGACCGGTTGATGCAGGTTCGTGGTGATGGGGGGGGGAAGGGGCAAGGCAGGGCGCGGCATGGCAGGGATTAACCCTTACCCCCGCCATCCTTTACCTTGCAGCCGTGGTGCGCTGGCCCACCTCCCCACCCTATGCGTGCCCTGCCTGACTGTTGCCTTTTTTTCCCTTCCTTCCCCCCCCTTTTTTTCCTCTGTTTTCCGCTCATCCCCTTCTTTTAATTCTACGTAGGCAGAGAGGTACGGGCTTGAGGTGGTGGTGGTGGTGGTGCGATAGGCTTTGTATATAGTACACATACGTACTAAGTATTGTATTCAGGTGGGCCGCCATCTAGTGCCCTTACCAACACTAACTACACTTTCCGGGGTGCAAGGTTGGCTTGCACGGAACGTCCTAGTGGATCGACTAGACATGCAAGTTACGGGTGGGATGATCGGTACCCCAAGTGCCAGGCCCATGCTTCTACCCTCCATGTCGTAGACCCCGACGGTGTCAGCGACGTCCTAACGCGACTGCCAAGTCCGCTCCTGACTTTTACGAATCAAAGGGAAAAAGGCCTCGGTGTCCTTTTGCTATCGTACAACTATGAGTCAAGATACCGACATATGGCCGTATGGCTATTCAGCTGGGTGCATCATGGGTCCCTTTTGGAGGAAGGGCAAGCTTCAATACTCTATTATCAACCGGCCCTTTTCCATCCTTGGAGCCGGAAAACGAGTTGAGTGGTGCGCGTGTTCAATAGCTTTCTGACAATCCTAGACGTAGATTCTATTTTTTGTACACAAGGACAATGGCGACAGCGCATAGTAATCGACATGAAACACATAGATATGCATCTGATGACAGCCGGATTGGATTGTAGGAAGATCCTTTCCGCATTGGGACAATGCAGGTAGCATACAATGGTGTGAATATACCACCCTTATTTTGTACCAGCCTCGTGAATCAGGAAAGGGCACCGTTTCAAAACAAAGTTTCCAGCATTTCGCCGCACCTGCCCGGTCCATCACGAGTACTTTTGATGATGATGTTTTTCCCGATACATGCGAGCAGGCGTGTCACTGCCCCCCCTCCCCGACATGGCTATCCATTCTGTCCAATCAGCATGGTCAATCGCCGTCTCGGCTCTACCTCGGGTCGCGTAACTATGCCCTTTCTACGTACAATTCACCATATTCCGTTGGTCCGTTGCCTGGCTGGCCCATGGGGAAGTCGTTCGATGATGCTGAAAAAAGCATGTATTCACCCTACCTAACGGCCCTAACCGGATTACCCGGCATCTGCCAGGGGGCACCTGCACGGCGCCTGCTTCGCGTGCCCTAAAAAGCATATACTCTAAATTATATGCAATGTCGCTAACGGTTCGGACATTTCAAACAGCTCTCTAAGGGACCCGAGTGCGCGTGGTTGTGGGTGTGCGTTTTGAGGGACCATTACGAGGAATCTGTTAATAAGGACTGCTGCGTTGTACGTTTTGTTTTGCACGTACGACGACAAGGTTCTCTTAAACCCACCTAACATTAATAAGACTCTTACCTGCTCTCTCAATATCCTCCGTCTTCTGTTTAACGCCCAACGCCCCCACAACATATTGGTGCAGCTGCACTACGTGTACCAACATTCGGTAAATAGCACTGCTTGCAGACCTGCCTTCACAGTGCTGACACTTTGATTGGATCAGCCGCATTCTTCACTCTTGTTCGCTGTTTGAGTGGCTAGTCCGCGTTCGCTGCTCTAGCAACTCTCGTCGACGGGTGATACATCTGACAAGTCGTTTGTTTCACGTTTCATCCTTACCTCTACCCAAACTACACACCCAAAGCCAACATGGCCCATAACCAGAGCCAATCTGGAGACCACTCAAACGGCTCTGCTCATCGTGGAGGAGTCCGCAAAGGCGATCGCATAGGTGATCGCAAAGGCGACCGCAGAAGCTCAAAGCGTGCCGGCGAGAAGGTGAGAAGGTTACCCTACTCACAAAGGTGGCGATGGCTAACAAAACGCAGTCTGGCGCAGGAAGCGCACAATCCACCTCTTCTTCAAGAGATCACCACTACGAGCCGCAGTATGATCCGCACTACGCGTCAGTGGCTCGCCCAATGTTTAACGACTTTACGCATCTGGAGAATGCAGCGAACAATCCCGCTTTAGACGTGGGATTTGTCCCCTCAAGTGGGGTAGTCGACGCGTCTCGCTGTGGACCAGGTGCGGTGCGTCAATCCTTGGGCAGCAGCGGGTTTAACGCACCTCAGGCGAGCCAAGCACACCAAGTCCAGTATGCAACGCACCCGCCCCAAGCGCAGAAAATCTCCCACCTATCGTCGGGCTATGACCGTACCGAGCCCTACAATGCTATCGGCTACGTCCGAGTTGATGGACAAGTCTACGATGACTCCGAAATGTATGAGGAATACAGGCAACGTGACCATGGCGAAGAACTCGACGACAACCACAGCGGAGGTTGGTACAACGTACCAAGTAATGCCTCCTACTAAGCTCCAGAATTGCAGTTTTGACTGTCTAGCAAAGTGCTCGACTTATATCTCCTCTGGCCGTGACCGGAAAGGCAAGCTGTAATCTCAGCGCTTTGCATATTTTTCCTACAAGTTCCTTTTCTTTAGGTTCGCATAGTCAGCCGGTCCAGGTGCCTTCTTCGTTTTACCCCCACAATAAACCGGGGTCTCATCTACTCGCCCTCAGCCTTGCGCAGTGGGGCCTATGTTTTCTTTTTTTTTTCACCACCATACTAGCGCTTGGGTTATCATCTCTCCTCTTGTAGCATACTTTCACGGAGTTTCGTCTTTTGTAACTTACTTTCACGGATTAATTTGATTTTTGAATGGGCTGTTTTTATGTGAATTGGTGATAGTGAATTTTGGTGCTTGAGTCAACCCGCCTCGTCCTCGTTGCTGTGAAAGCTCGGTTTGCCGGTGCTCCCGGTTGCGATGTGTGCTACGTGAGCGGAAGCGTCGCGACTTGCCAATGCTGCACACATGCACACCCCTGACATGCCACAATACTCACCGGAATTTATTTTTGCTCACCGGAGTCGGAAGGATCATAATCGGCAAGGAGGACTTGATCACCGGAATCAAAGGACGGTCGCCTGAAACATGCTTCCTATCCGAAGAGCCACCGCCTGTTGAGAGATTGATCGGTTGATTTGCTGGCACATGCACGGACAGTAGATAGTCCTGAAGGAATCAACAGCTAAAGCAAGCCTTGCTCCTCAAGTCCCTTTAATCGGCCGTGGATCGCTGCATCGGTCGCGTGTTCATAGATGGAGATGGAGGAAATGACTTTACTGTATGCGTTAGATGTTGATCAAAGCAGATTGCATACATCTGATCCGATGTGCTGAATATGAATGGGCAATGGTTTTTTTTCTGGATAAGAGGCTGAATCTCGGCACCCTTCACCGATCAGATGAGGACCAACTAGGGCTAAGATAAGCCAAAGACAAAGCTTTGCCCTTTGTTCACAAAGCAGACAGTTGGAGGTGAAACTGCCTTACAACTGGTTCATGTCAGGCTCGTGAAGGCCTACCGAGCGCACATGATGTACGTCCTGCTAGACGTCAAGTCTGTTCTGAACGTTGGCCCTTACCAAGGCCTCATCCGTAATATGGGCATGTGGCCCAGGCTAAGCTGAAGCCTCGCCTTCAATCGGTGTATCTTAAGCCTGCTGCCGAGTGCTCTTGAGCCGCCATCGATGGACTATGAGCCTATTGCTATAACGAGATATGGGGATCCAGTATACAGTAGATTGATCTTGGTGGTCGATCGGCCGATGACGCAATGACCGGTCATCGGTCCGAATTAGTACCAAACGATGGGCCGCCTGGGGTCCGTGTGCGGGCGGGACAGGGTTAGCCTGTGTTTCCGCTAACTCAATCTGAACTACATGTTCCCCTGCCGTTGAACGTATTCTCCAGAAGAGCATATATCGCGAGTGTGTACTCCATTCCGTATGGTCGAAAAGATGCTAACTTGGCGGTGCACTGGGAGACAGGGTTCGGGCATAGCCGATATGAAGAGGCCGCCTACCAGGGCATGCATATTGTTGCCGATAACGCTAGGGCGCTGGTGGCTGGGTGTGGGGTAAATCATCCTGACGTCCTGACGTCCTGCAAGAAACGCGAGGGATCTCGCCCTGGAGGACACAGGGCAAATGAAAGGTAGCCTAGAGCGATGGTTGTGTCGGGCGCGTTCTAGGCCCATGCAGTTGCCGAGCTTGATGATGCCTGAATATCGTCCGTCGGTTGTCTGCTGGAGGGTTTCCTGCCTTCCTAAAAAGATGCACACAATATTGTAGTGATCCTGGAAGTTGTCGTGTTGCTGCCACTTGGAAATCTTTCCACTTAACGTCCCTGAGAGTGATTGTTCCAGTTTTACCCAGTTGTTACGACAACTGGCACTCTTAGCACCTGGAACTGTTAGAGTAGACAAAAATAAATCCTTCAGCCCCACCCGACCATGAATGAACAGCCGTGCACTGAATTGGCCCCATCTCAAGGCAGACTTGGGGAGCGAAACCGGCGTGTCTAACCCTACCGGTCTTTGAGCTGTGCCTATTCTTTGGGTCTTCGGGTTATTTTGGGGGGCCGTTTTTAAGGCTGTATAGTCGTGACTTACATTTCTTTCGGCAGTGCATCTTCCTGTTTAGACATAATAACTGAGGCAAAGCCTCTGATTACTTTTGACAAGATTTCGCATTGCCAAACTCTTTTCTGTACTCAATTGTCGACCGCGCTTGGTGAGCTGCGTTGATGTTGGAGGCCGGGCTTCGACAGGGGACCATACAACCCACGCCCTCCAGGACAAATTGCTCTGCAATGTGGGTGTTCCTCCCGAACCCCCCACGAAGGCTACTGTATCACTTCATCCGACGGACCCTCTGAGCATCCGTTGCTGCTGCCACCGCCGCCGCTGCCGCCGCCGATGCAAAACAGATCGCTTCACTTTGGAGAATAGTCCTGGAGGCCGCCCGTAATGAGCAACATCTTCTTTCGGCAGCTCGCGGACGAAACAAATCTGGGCCATCTTAGTACTGCACATATCGATCGAATTCCTTCGCACATATGGAGTTGACCCCGGCACATGTGGAAGAGCTCCGGTCATATTCCTTCCTTTTCCAATCTCACCGTCTGATACCGAGGCCCCCGGTCTCCTTCGCTAGTAGCAACGCCAAGACAGCGGCCTAGGGCAACCATCACAATGAACAGGCTGCCCAGCATGCTTCAGCTCTTCGGCCCTGTTCGGATGAGCTTCTAGAGTGGTCGGCAATCTGCTTGTCCAAACAAAGCTGTCGTACGCGTACGCGTACTGTCATGGGACGGTATCCAGTCCTCCAGTGCCCTTTCGCCTTCTTGCCTGCTTTTTGTTTTTTGTCACGACGATAGCATGTTGGCGCTCCGTGATAGGGATCATGTCGCGTCGCTAGCAGCGTAGTCTGTTTTCGAATATGTGCTCCACGGAGACATATCGTACTACTATCCTCGAGGGAACATACAGGTTGCAGTGTGCTGTGATCCGCCTTTCCCCGAACAAAGTTGGTTGAAATAAGGTCCTGCACCACTGCAAATGCCTTCTGCGACATATTTGGAGCCACTCCCCGCGTTTCTGAAGATGCTCATTCATTTCGAAACCAGAAATCGCCTTAGGATTACGTGCGTGAGCTATCTTGTTCCATTAGAGGTTGCCTCCCAAATTCACTGTACTCACCGGTGTGCAGCATCTCTTCCCGGCACCACGACGTTGGTGAACAGACAACAGGGACTGCTGTCCATCCATTCGCTTCTGACTCGGCGTCGCTTTCAAGTGGCAACGAGCGCACTCCTTCAACAAATCCTGCGTCCCTGCCATATCCAAAAGATCCTCTCGAAGAAGACTTTCCCGTCCTCAACAGGAACCAGAACGTACGACGACGAAGCCGTCTCTTGAGGTTCTGCCGGTTCTTGATAAAGATTCGTCGAATGTATCCTCAAACCCATTCAGTTGTCGACGACGACCCCCCGCCAGCTTACATGCCGTACATCCAAGACTGTCACTCCTCCTCCGTCCAGGAGCTTCCAACCGATCGTGTTATTTCGGAACTTCCTGCGGAACCCAGACCTTTGGAACTAGAAAGTCCCACGGATCAAACCCCTGACTTGGCTCGCCATACTAGCCAAGTGCCAGTAGGACATACATACCATGGGCGCTACAGGACTACAGAGCATGCTGAACTACAAGGACCGAGTCGCGCGGAGACATCGAGGTCGCTCTGGGGTTCAGATGCTGTGCTGTACCCTAGTTCAGTGCCGGGTTCGACAATTCATCAGCAGTTCCACAAGCCATTGCCTATCTCACCTCCCAAAACTCCTGATACCCATAACGATTCCGGTACACAGCTCGGGCCTGGTACAGAGCTCCACAGAGGTGTTTTATTTCCTGATGTCTATTCACCTCCCAATGATCATCAAGATGAGTTCAACATGCCAATACTGGACCTGAACTATGCTTTCCAGCATGGAAATGCCTCTCACATGAACATCAATCATGTAGAAATTCCTCTGTTCTCTGCTCCAATTCCTCCGGCTGGGTGTCAACAGTCTCGACGTGATAGTCATCCACACTACGACTCGTCGTCATACCCCAATGCAGCCGAACCGTATAATGCTCAAAGCAACGCATCAATCACAGCAAATAGCTCTGTAGATAACCCTTGGGTGCCATCATATGGTATGACAAGCATCCCGCTTGGTGTTTACGACTTTGATGAGTCCCGCGGGTGGCAGTACCACAATGGATACGGACAGAAGACGAACAATCCCAACGCTTTCGGCTATTCTACAAAAGAAGTGGATACATCGTACACCTTTGCAAAGCTTGATGATCGTCAACACTATGAGGTTCATGAGGGTTCTTGTTCGGATGCAGAAGAGAATGACGAAAGTCTTTCCTGCAGTCAATGTAGCACACTCTTCCATGGCAAGTACGTGAAGCTACCAGACTTCCTCATGTCTATGTTGGCGCTGACCAAGCATTTAGATACCGGAACGGAAACTTGAGACGACATATTCGTGCCTTTCACAGTGTGGTGGCTTCGGTTCTCGGACTGACATGCCGCATGTGTGAGAAGCAATTCAAACGAGCAGACGCTACCCGCAAGCACGAGTGGGAGCAGCATAGTATGCCTGATGTGAAGCCAAGGAAGAGGACAGTAAGGTAGTGCAGAGCACAATCCTTTAACTGGCTACAATGACCATTCATCGCAGCCCAAATGAGAAGCTAGTAATCTTTGTGTTAGGGTGCTTGGGACCGCCTCTTTCTTTTCTACAACGCTAGCGTTGGTTCCCCTGGCTGGAGTATTCTTGAATAACACATGTGTAATATGCAATCTTTTTCAACCACCACACCAACTTCGAGTTTTCTAGAATAGGTGTAATATTAGCTAAATATATACAAATCTCTTATAAAAAATCG